CAGGAATGGTCTCTCCAGGCGGTGCTGTCTACTAGGTGTCTCTTTGAAGTGCTATTCAATAGCTTTCTGTTACTTTTTTTTTTGTTTTTCTCCCTTCTCCTTCAACAGTTTCTGGAACAAATCCTGCTAGATTTCACATTTCTGAAATTCGCTGTACTGGGGTGCTTTATCTCCAAACGTTCTTGTATGGCAATAGTATAAAAGAGCGTGTGAACAAAAGCACGGCGTTTGGCATTCACTTTGGATCATTAACCTGGTCTGTAAATTTGGTTTGATCTCTCTTCCCCCCCTTCTCTGTGTAATTTCAGAGCCCGTGAAGAGAAGCTGTCTTTTGCTGCCTTGGGAGTCCAGCAAGAAATGGGAGTCTGATGGATTGTAAATACATCTGCTTTGTTTAAAAGCCAGCCAAACAGATAAGTGCACTTTAAATTTTCTAGCAGTAGCATGTTAGACGTATCTGTGCACAAAGCATCTCTCCATTTTCATTTCAATTCCGTGAACCTTCTGTGTTTTACCATTGCTGACGAACGTTCTGCGATTCCCCTTTCGGCTGAGAAACAGCAGATGATGGGTATTTCATGCGAGTTAATTAGCAACTGAGGGGAAATGCTATTGACAGCTCAGGAGGCTCCCTGGGGTCTCCCTCTGCCCCTCCAGAGTCACTGTCTCCAGCAGCCCTGCGATGCTTTGGGACTCCAGCTAGCAATAAGGGATCGGGTCTGAGATATTGGACTGAGCTGATGTGACCCGTCAGAGCCTGAGCAGTCCACTACGACTTGTTAGAGGTTTAACAAGCCAGCCTGGCTCATTTGATTGGGAAGATGCTTGTGGCAGCTTGGCGAGGTTTCAGAGAAACCAGCTAGCATTGCTGAAAGGATGGAGAAAGGATAAACTCTACTTCTTCCTGCTGGTATCTAGGAAGGGAAAATAACCAGGGATGTAGAAGACTGAGTTTAGATGGGGCATACGAAGTGGTATCGTGGGTGAATCATAACAGGAAGCGTTCTGTCAAAGCTAAGGGGACACTTGTATCTTTGGATGGTAAATACAGGTTATTGAGAAAATAACTTTTGGATTCTTAGATGTGCTTCCTTAGGTGACCATTACCTGCTCTTGAACACACCACTACAATTATTAAATAATTTAAGGGATCCTGAAAATAGGGGTCTCATGTAACTTCACAATAGTATATAATCAAGGGATTGGGGCAAATATTTATTATACCTACAATTTACAGAACTGGAATAATGAAAAAAATGCTGAATTTGAACTGCAAATCCATTTTTATGAGTATTACTCACAAAAATTTAAGTGATGTTTTATGAAATAGAGAAAAGTGACAATCATTTGCTTTCAAGCACAGCATGTGGCTATTGGAGGGAGATGTGTGGCTGGAAGAGGGTAGGACCCAAATTAATGAATCCAGACCAATCTTGTTTGCTCTAATAGGGCTGATGAGAAGTGTAAAATGTCTATATCCTTGCTGTTAGAATAAGTATAAGCAGGTTTGTTGCAGCAAAATTAGACTGTATTAACTGGTGTGAATTTGTTTTACATACCTAAGCAGGAGAGCTTCTTGGTAAAGGTACCAGGCTAGAACTGAGGGCAACCTGAGTCCACTTCTCGGTCACAGATTTCTGTGACCTTAAGCATGGACTCTAACCTCAGTCTCTTGGTTTTTTTCTGTCTGTAAATGGAGCTCATAATACTGCCCTTCCTTGCAGGGAAGGGGCATTGAGTCATGTGGAGAATGAGAGTCAAGATTATGAGGTAGAAGATTACTGCAGCATGAGAGAACTAGGTCCAGCTCAATTTATGGGATCCCTAGAGTGCCTGAAGTTCCCTCTTCTCTGAGACAAGCTCTTTACTCACGCTGTTGTTATTGAGAAAGGGTTTGTAATAATGGAAGAAACTTCTCTGGTATCAAGGACTGCCCTTTGCAGGATAAATAATATTTATTCTTGGCTCTTCAATCCCCTGATGGCAAAAGGGCCTGAGAATATACTAAAAAACACTGATAAAGTTAAGCCCTAGTGATAAAAGTGTAATCAGAGTATGTCCATTCACTAAGAATGGATAGGAAATAAGAGCAGCTCAGATCATTCGTGCACCCCAATTAACAGAGCTCTTTGCTTCTTGGGGAGGAAGGAAAAAAAAAAAGAGAGAGAGAGTAGTTTTGAAGTCAGAGATCCGCAAGGTCTTGATTCTTAGGTTTGCAGCTTGAAATCTTGGAGGATGTTTCCTGCTAGAGTGCTAGTATCAATGTTCACCCAAGTTAGAGCTCCTTCAATTAACTGTAACCTGGTCAGTTCCAGTCTAGGCTGCAAACTTATCTTTGGGCGTTAAAGTTGCACTTGGAAATCATGTCCTGAAGTCTGGCATGGAACTTGTAATGCTCTGTACTCCTTGCCGGAAGAGGGAGAAGAAGGTAGCAGTCACTCTCAGGAACTGTGCCAATGGGAGAGATCATGCCCTGTGTTTAAATGCAACTGTATTTTGTTTGCTCTACGTATCCAGTGGCTGAGCAGAACAGATTCAACAGATCTTGACAGGTTGCTGTGAAAAATCGTATCCAGAAAAAAAAAAAAAAGACTCCCAGTCCCTAACTCTTTCCTGCTATTACAGGTGAGCCTTGCGGACACTTTGAAGACCTTAACTTCTGAATGTGTGAGCTTCCCCTGGGATTAGAGGAGCCATGGGGAAAGACCAGAAAGAGGAGGAGGCTGTATTTCTGAGGAAAAAGATTACTTTGCTGAGGGCTTTCTCGCTTCTTATCGGCAGCATGGTTGGAAGTGGCATCTTCATCTCCCCTAAAGGAGTACTGAAAAACTCTGGCAGTGTGGGTTTCTCCCTGATTGTCTGGTTTGCATGTGGGCTTCTCTCCATGTTTGGTGAGTTTTTGTCAGCCTTTGCGTAAGCTCCTGGGAGATGAGGGGAGCCAGCAAATTTTTACATATAAAAAGTTGGGAGCAGAACAGACCAAAAATTCCCTCTCCCTCACGCAACAGAAACAAAGATTTAACAAGCCTTTGGGGCCACACAGGCCTAAGGGTCTTTTGTTAAAATGATTCCCTTATGGTGACTGAGAAAATTTCAGCACTTGTGATCTGTGAATATGAAATCACATGCAAGTCTGGGGCAAAGGGGTTAAAATGGCTACAATCTGCCAGGAGAGTCGGGAAAAAATATGGGAACCGACTCATTATCGGGCGGAAGTGAGACTTCGGTATTTAAAAGGTACCTGCTAGAATGAAGGCTATGCAGAGCTTTCCATATACACTGTGAAAAGGACAAGAAGTAACAGTCTTAAAACGCAGTAAGGCAAACTCACTCCTGTCGGTAAGGACAGAGAAGCACGACAGCAGGTTGCTGCAGGAGCTGCGGAGCCTGTAGCAGCAAGGGGTAGGCGTGTATCTGCCAGAAATGGTTTGGATATATCTGACTCCGTCTTGGAGGAAGGAGACGGAGTAGATGAATTCTTGACACCTTCAGTCCTGCTTTCTCTGCATTACATTTTGCTCCACTTTGTGGCAAATACCATTCAACAACTTTTTTTTTTTCACAGCGGGTGGACTTTCTCATTGAAATAACATAGCTCTTAAAATTACCATTGATACAACCTATGGCTTTCAGTTTCCATCTTTCGTTAACTGTATAAAAGCACCTTCTCAGAAACGCTCTACATGGGATTGAACAGGGTCTCTCAAAACTTTGGGGAGGATGTTTATTTCCATGGGTGACATTAAAATTTTTCCTCCTTCATAATTAAAAAAAAAAAAAACTACAATGACGACAACAACAAAAAAGGAGATACGTTGTGTGAAAAAAAACCCCTTAGCGTTGTTGCATGTGCATGCGAGTACTTCAGAACACAGAAATCAGGATGGTCAATTGTTAATCTGTCAACAACTCTAGTTCTTCCTCTTAGCGTATGCATACCAGTATTTCATGTTTTTGCATATACTGTTAAGTGTAGGCCTCGTTTGTGGTACATGTGGGATGTGGTTGTTTGGGGTATGATATATTTTGTGTGATTGTTTGGGGTATGGTATATTTTGCTTAAGGAAAATCTTAAAACATAGTGTGAGCGCAGTGCTTCTCTTAACTGAGCAGAGCAATAAATTATGAAGTATGTGCTGGTCATATAGCCAAACCTCCGCACTTGGAAAGGTTTCTCTCTCCATTGCGTCCTTTTATAGTGTCTTCTGGCAGGGCCTTGGGAGTCTGTTTGTCAAGTTATTGTGTTTTGTAACTGAATTTGTTGGTATGCTCTTCCCTTTTATCAGCTTGATGACCTTCCCTGATCATTTTTCTGACACTTTTTTGCAGTGTTTTAAAAAGAACCTACTTTCTTTTATATATTTTTTTCCTTTAGGTGTGGCATTTATACAAGTCCCATAGTCTCAGTTCAGCAAAGCACTTAAATACATGCTTGAAGCATGTAAATAGACCCAGTGGAATAAATGGGAGGAGGTGTCTGCCCATGCTGAAGGCTTTGAATGGGAGTTCAGGATGAATTTACTGACAGAGAGGCTAGAAGAATGGGAACCCTCACTATTAGCATTACCCGAATATGGCATGAGCGCCGCAGGACTTGGAGGAATGGCTGTATTGCTGCTTGGCTTCTCTGCTGTCTCCTCTGCTGCCTGTCCTGTCCCGGCCACAGCTGCGTCCAGCCCTACGTGCTTTCCACGTTTTCTTCTTTGTGCCACCTCGGAGCTGAGGACAGGCAGGAGAAGCTTGGCCTGACCCGGAGGAGGCAGGTGGGGGCTGGCTGATCGTTGCAGCTCCCTCACATCCAGACCTCAAACAGTGCAGCTCGGTTCGGTCTCACCTTTTGGGATTGCACCCAAACAGTGCTCAGCCCGCTTGCAAGGGACTTTATGTGCAAGGAGGTGGAGTACATAATGTGTAGTGAAGTGTTTTATGATTTCTTTTGGTGAACAAAGGATGTTTAATATAGCAAAGGGATCTAGTGTAGGCAGGGTTTAAGATTCATGCTCAGATGTGTTCGAATGGCATAATGAATTGCTATGCAGAAAAAACAGATGGGAATTTTTTTGGCACTGGTGGAGGTATAATGGTTTCTATCAGTTTGCCTGAAAATTTTAAGCTGTCTTCTCAAATGTGCCTCTTCTAGGGTTTCTCGTTCGGCCTAGATGAAGAGGGAGGGAGGTGTTGAAGCATTTGTTAAGACAAGAGTGGGCGGTTGTCAAATCTGTTGTCACACTCATATGTGAGGAGGTGAGCACATGAGAGGAGAAATGCTGAACCTCTTTCTGAGAAGTTTCCTATGCTCTGCGGTAGTGGGGTGTTTTTTTTTTCTTTAGGTGGCAATTCTTTTCTCTCAGAGGTCTCTCCAGGTCTTTTGTCTAGGTATCTTTGAATGAAGAAAGAGATTCATCCTAAGGCACAAGATAAGGACAGAGGAACATGGTCCATGATCAAAAACATGATTGAAATGATCAGTTAAGTTACTGTCTGTCAGCTGAGCTGCTATAAATGACTTTGCAAGCACTGTTATTGTGATCTAATTATGAGGACAAATGAAAGAACCTGAACATCCAAGAGTTTTTTAAAGGAAATCTTTTGTAGTGCAGCGCAAACTTTCTTTGACACACTTTTTCAGATAAACTTCTGTGGAAAAGTTATATCATTAATCTGAAAATATACAATTTCTTTCCTTCTGACAGAAAAAAGAACATACTTTGAAATACTGGCATACAAAAATAGGGAAGAAAAGTGCTTATGCTTTAAAAAATACCCCCTCCCCCTTTTTTCTCCCTTTAATCTACTACTTATTTTAAACAATTTACAAATTGAAAATCCAAATTTTCAGTCCTTGAAAAGTTCCACAGGAATCGCAGAATGATTTACTTGATTCATTTCTACCCAAACTTTTGCAGGTGCCTTGAGTTATGCAGAGCTTGGAACAAGAATCACCAAGTCTGGAGGACATTATATCTATATACTGGAGACACTAGGGCCTCTGCCAAGTTTCTTATTTCTGTGGGCAGAGTTTTTTGCTATTAGGTAAGACATTGTGTTTGTTGGTTTGCCTTTTGCTAGTTGCTGTGAAGACTTCAAAAAAAGTTATGGTGCCAGGTAAAAATCTAGGTATTTTTTTAGAGGAAAAAGTACAGTATGAATTACTTTTAAAGGTTTCCAGTGATGAAAGGAAGAAGACAAAATGACTCAATAGCTACATGTGTTCAATGTAATCTGTATTTGAAAAATATCTCTCTTGTGCCCAGACAGCTGATATGCTCCAAGGGCCGTGATATTTTTCGGTGATTGAGAGTAGATGCCAGGTTTATTTCAGATCTTCTGTTTTTATTGTTAAACTTTCTCAGGTTCGCCTGTGCAGAAAACTTTCTGCCTTAGCCCTGAGTTAAATAATACTTTAGAAAACTGTAAATGACTTGTATTTATTTATTTATTTACATCAAAGAAGAAGAAAGTCCTCCCCTCACAGTAACCTGCATCCTTCATGTCAGCTGAGATGAAGCAGGACATGTGAACCACACTGTATCGCTCAGTGTGATTAATCTCAACTTTTGCTCTTGATTTCAAGTTTAGATTTAAGCTTTTTGCAGCATGTGATTCTAAACCATTTACTGAAAAAAGCTACAAAGGAGACTATACCGCAATGCATCTTGTGTGTGGGAGAACAGGATTCATTTGGGTGGAGAACCTTCCTTCCCTCCATGTTTCCTGAGTTGTGGGCAGTTTTTCATCACGCTATGTTTTTTAACCTAGGCTGATCTGGCCATTTGCAGACCACCATGTGACTCTGTGAATTGGTTCCCCTTTCCAGGCCTGCCAACAGTGCTGTGGTGTCTTTGGCATTCGGACGTTACATGTTGGAGCCTTTTTTCGCCCCTTGTGCAGCCCCTCTCCCTGCTGTGAAGCTTGTGTCTCTCCTGGGATACTGTAAGTACAAACTTTAATGCTGGTGGCCAGTCTTGGAGAGAGCAGAGCTTCTCTGCCACAGACCAGAGGTGCCGATTGGGCGTCATCTTTCGGGAGCGCTGTGGGATTGAGACCCTATGTTACCTCCCCGGTCACTCAAAGCTTCCTGATCCAAGGTACTGGTTTAGGGCCCCTGTAGAAGAAGAGAGAATGGTCCCCTCAGTCATCCATCCCTGTGGCCACCATGCAAGTGGTGGGGAGCGAGGCGAGTGGTGAGATTGGAGAGCATTGCGGCCCACCAGTACTGGGGGCTCAGCATTGATCACTGACGGGAGGGTGTCAGGGGAGCCTCTGAGGGGACCGTGCCAAGCACGGAAGGAGAAATGATGCACACACAATGGTGCAAACTCCACCCGGTTTGAGGGCATAAGGATCAAGCTTTTGGACTCCTTGCCTGGTTCATTCAGCACATGAAGCTCTCCTGTCCTGTTCTGGGCTGTGATGTGCTGCTGCTGAGATGTCCCTGCAAACTGATGTGTTTCTCCCAGACAGGTGTGGATCACCCAGCAGGAACCAGGCTCCTGGTTGCTTTTAGGAGCGTATCTCAGCTTCCCCTTCAAATGTTATATGCTGGGCCATACCTTTAATCCTTTCTGACATCTGTTGCTCAGAATGTCCTCCCTGTAAAGACATAGCCTTCTCTCTTGCGTCCCTAGAGCAGGGAGCATTACTGTACTTCTTCCTGCATGTATTGAACTCCGACTATGGCTGTAGCAATGTGGTCTCCTCTCCAGACACGGTCCTCACCCTTAATTCCTGGAGTGTCACCTGGAGTGCCTGGGTGCAGACGGCTCTCTCCTTCATCAAACTCCTGGCTCTTGCGCTCATCATCATGCCAGGGATGATGCTTCTGGCCCAAGGTATGCGTGCTCAGTGTGACTGAAGCAGGAAGGGTGCTTGTTCATGAGATGTCTGCACGGGGTGGCATTTATCAGTTCATAGCAGGGTAGCTCTGCTGTCCTTAGTGACGTGTGGTACCATGTTTGCTGGCAGGAGCTTTCTCTGCCTGCCCACTGATGTGAACTAGCCTAAGTCTGAAACCTGAGCTGTGTTACTGCGCTGAGGCTAGTGCACCTACCTGGGCTGTGCTTTCTCCAAAGCGATTCCAGGAAAAGTGAGTCTGCCCTCTATCGCAGGAGACTCTGTGAGTCTACCCAGAATAATACAGGTGCATTTCTCTGGGGAAAGACTTCTTTCAGTGTAAGACTAGCCTGTTTTCAGCTTGGCTCGAAGTCCTTTCCAACAAACATGAATCAGATGGACATCGGGGATATGTGACAGCATCCCGCAGTGACTTGAGCCAGTTACAGATATGTAATGAGTTACCAACCATCAGCTAAGCCCTGGTAATTGCACCTCTAACCATTCTGTAGCTTAAGCTTATGCATCTTACCTCTCAATGGAAATAGACAGTAGCTTAGTAAACTTACAATTGACTCGTGCTGGATTGCATGCTCACATTCAGAGGAAAAAAAACCTACCAGTGGTATCTTCTGGGAGTGACACCCAGGGTGCTGGCTTTAATCCAAGCCTTATTTTTATATAAAAGCCCATGACATTCGTACTCAAGGGATGAAGCCTGCTCTGTCTTCATGCTATTACCTTCTGCAAAGGAAACAACAAAGGCACTGGTCTGAACATTCATGTTTCTTTCTCATGTCTGAAGCTGGCTTCTTTGAACATGTGAAAATCCCCTCAGGCTGGCAACCCATCTGAACTGAAGGACTGCCCTGCAGCCAGAAATCCTGAGCCATTATTGTTAGGAATGCCTTCGAATGACAATCTGGAGCCCTGGCACACTTCTCTGATGAGGAGGATAAGTGGTGGTGACATCTGGAGAGAGAATTCACTGTGAGACCCCAGTATGACAGGCTGTATTTCATGTGACTCATGGGGGATTGTAAATCATTCATTGATACACTGTGGACAATCAATCCTTTTTATGTACCATCACTTATCAGCAGTTGTTTTAGAATATAAAAACCTACCCTAGTAGTCCCATTTCCTTTTTTTGGTTTAATTTTCTTCAAATCTATCTTCCTTCCGACTACATTTTTTTGCTTGTTTTTAAATCCAGGTTTGCTTTGTTCCCCTTTCTGATGCTACTTTCATTGGTTATGCTCTTGTCTTTTCCTCTGCCATTACTTCTTCTTTGGCTTCAAGTCTGGATGCCTAAATCTTATTGAAGAACTCCTTACAGAGGCACCTCAGTAGAAGTGCCTGATTCTCTCCATGTGCTCTGTGGCAAGAAATCTTAACAAACCTTGGTTGATAAAATGTGGCTAACATCCAAAATCTTGACTTTGATTTTTATTGAACAAGCATGGCTTTGTAAAACAAACCATTTCCCTTCCACTTCTCAGTGTTGGTCCGTTTTTTTTTTCAAGCAGACCACTTTTCTGAAAATTGGAGGATTTAGTAAAATGGGATCTTCATCTGATCTCCTTCTTTCTCTCTGTCTCTTTGGTTTCTCCTCCTGCCGGGCAGTGTATTGATGGTTGGAAGAGGCGGTGAGGAAGCGTGCTTTCCTGCAGCAATGGCCCAGGGTGGCTGTTTCCACTCCTTGTGCTCCCTCCTCCATCCCTTGGTTCCCATGCTCTGCACAGCATGAGGCTGGGGTCAGCGCTCTTGCAGAAGAGTCAGGAGGTGGCACAGCAAGAGTTGAATTAGCTGCTTCGTTGGCTGCACAACATCAAAAAAGAGCGTGCATCCAGCTGCTTGTGTGTGTGTGTGAACCCAGTGAATTAGTTTTGGGCCCAAAGAAAGAAGAGGACAACTTAGGTCGCCTTGTCTCCATGATCTCCTGTTTCCACAGCAGACACTATCTGGAGAAGAAAAAAAAAAAAAAACAGCCTGAATGAAATTTCTGAAATTTCTCTCATAGCTGGATGGGAGATAGATTTATTCCGTCACTGTTTATGAAGTAAACATTGCAGCACAGCACTGCAATTTAAAGCAATGAAATGAATCTGAATATCTAAGTACAAAGAAGTTGCAAACGTTTTTCCCAGGGTTGGACAAGAGGTACAAGGGATGTTAACCCATGGGATGGAAGCCTGTTTCTCATGTTTCCCTCCTCTCTATTCTTTGTTTCTCTCTTGTGCAGGCCACACGGAAAACTTCCAGGATGCCTTTGACAGACAGTCACTGGTTTTGGATAAGCTGCCCTTGGCTTTTTATGCAGGGATGTTTGCATATTCAGGCTGGTAGGTGAGATCTGAGAACACTTTAGGGGCAGCAGATTGGTGTTTGAGTCAAGATTCAAACTCTCTCCTTATCTTCCTCTACCGTGCAGGTTTCAGACTAGCTTTGTGCGTGAAGAATTGATCAGACCTGAAAGGTAAGGCAAGGATAAGCACGTGAATCTTGTGTTGTCAGCCTCTGAAGTACATTAGCTTGTCTGAATATTAGGAATTAAGGAAAAATGTCTGTGGGTTCTTCTAACGAACGCCGGCTGCACTCCGCAGGGGTATGATGAATAACAGAGGGATAACGGTTTGTTTGTTGTATCTCTCTCTTCTCTCTTTTGTAGAAATATCCCACTGGCTGTGATAGTGTCCGTGATCACTGTAGTTGTGGGGTATATGCTCACCAACATTTCCTATTACACGGTCCTAGGGACACAAGATGTTCTGGCTTCTCCAGCTGTTGCTGTGGTGAGTTGTTGCCCCAATTGCTATCTATCTTCAGTGTGACCAACGTGTATTGAAAGGGTGGTCATGGCAAGTATTTAGGAAATGGTTTTCCTAATAGAATGACCTTCTGCTTTGTCATTTCTCTGGATTATTGGACAATAGTAGCTTCTTCTAATCTTACCTAAAAGATAACGAAAAAGAAACTGGAGATGACAGTAGAAAAGGTAAGATTCATATTCTGTTCCTTCAGTCATGGTTTCTGCAGTTACTTCTCTTGAATCTGATGTCATAAGAGATCATCACATATTTCAGAAGTCGTTTGCTCTTCTTCCAGAGTTTTGTGCAGCGAGCCTTCAAAAGTCTTATCTCAGTGGTCCCTGTCCTTGTTGCGCTGTCCTGCTTTGGAACAATGAACGGAGGAATCTTTACATTTTCAAGGTCAGATTCCTAAGAATTTGTTACCTTTTTTGCTTACTGAATCACAGGGGAAAGCACCAGTAAGCTGTGTAACTGCATGTCCTCTTGATGGCATTTTAGCCCCTCCTGGGGAGAAATAGGGCCTTTGACTCCCGAGAGGTAAACTACAGGACAATTGCTGTCGGCTATCTAACAGTCTATCCTTTCCTCTTGTGGCCAGGTCTAGACATTGCTATCTAGAGCTGGTTATAAAGCAAGGTTTCTATCTCCCTTGCTTACCCCTTCAGTTTAAATCCAAGTGAAACGTCAGTGATTCCAGTGTTGACCTTGGCAGTTGCTCAGTAAAATTGAGTCGTTTTTTGTTAGGTCAGCTCAGCTGCTCTGCTCCAGGGCAGAGGATCCCTCTGTTTTGAGGATCTCTGGCCAAAGGCAAATGCTCCCTCGAGAACTTCACTTTGAGTTCAGTGGAATGCTATCAGGACCAAGCCATTCCTAAAGCAATAGCCTAGGCTCAACAAATCATACTATAGCTATAATAATAACCTTGTTCCATAGAAAAACATCTTGGCAGCGCTACTGGCTACTAAGCTGCATGTCCTTTTGGGAGTCTTGAAATTGGAGAGGGGCAGAGCTCACGCAGAAGGGGCGTGTCCGTCTGGTCCTGAGGAGCTGAGCACTCTCTGGAGCCAGTTCTGTTTCATGGCTTTGACTGCAAAAGGGCAAATCAGTAGATACGAAAAGGATGTTTCCTACTGCAAGAGCTAATGATTTATTCAGTTCACTACTTTCAAGTCCTGTATTAAATGTAGTGTGGAGAATCCTTTGCTTTAGCTCCTCTAGGTATAGTGACTTTCTTTGAGCATGGTAAGTCTCTGGGCAGCACAGAGTTTCCCTGTGCCCCTATCATCCTTCTCTCCCTTGTCCTGGTGTCATTAACATAATCACTGCAAAAAGGCCATATAAATGGTGATAGGGCCTCCCTGGCTGCTGGCCAGGCACACTCCTGCAAAATCACAGAGGCTGCAATAAAACCAGTTTTACACTCATGCCCCAGCTGCTTTGGGCTCTGCTCCAGTCCAGCTGATGCTCTGGCATGGTATGTTTGCGGAGATTAAATTCATGAAATTGGATATAATGCTTTCCCCTTAATTGCCCTTCCATGATTCAAAGGAGGGATGGGGGCAAGGAGCTCTCGGCTGCCATTCTGTAGCTGGGCCTATGTGTAGCTGGCTTCTCTGGAGCACGCTAAAATCTGTTTTCCAACTGCTGGCCAGAGGCTTGAAAACCCCCTGTCACTTGAAAACCTTGCTATTTATTTATTTGCTTATTTATTTTTAAATATATGTATTTTTTATTCCTGGTCTGCAGCTGCTGCTGTGATAGGCCTACCAGGGCCTCCTGTGTCTTGAGCCCAGTCCCCTGTTGTTATGGGCATCAAGAGTGACAATCCCTTCATAGGCTCACCAGCCTCTCTTATAATGACTTGAGGTTTGTGACTCCTTTACTTCCTACTGGAAAGGCTAATTCCCTCTCTGATGGCAAGAAACTTCCCTGCTTCTGTTTCTAGGCTGAATTCACTCATGGTCACTTTGGACTTGCTCAAAGGTCTCTGCTAGTGGGTCAGCCAAGGGGATGCTGCCAGTGATGCCGCTGGTGGATCTTGTGCTGCACAGAACTAACTGGTCCTGGGAGAACTATGGGAATTCAACCTTGTTTGTCTTTGTTTGTGTTGGTTTTTTCTTTGTTTGTTTTGTTTTTCCAAATTTCCCTCAAACATCTGGCTAAGGGCAGAACTGTGACCTTAGAAAGCCGGTGTGTGCTGGTGGGTAGGGGTGCAGTGGTCTTAGATCGGTCCAGGAACGGATCTTTTCATTTTCTAGTGTGAATGTAGGACGCTGGAGCTTAGGGCTCCCTGTCTCTTCCTAGGACTCTGTTTGTGGCTTCAAGAGAAGGACAGTGGCCTCCTCTCTTCTCTATGATCCATATTCGAAGGCATACACCTCTTCCTGCTGTCATGTTAATGGTAAGGAGGTCTGGCTGTTTGACTTGCTCTATTCTTGCAGTATTGGCTTTCTCATTTTATCTGGCAATCTGCAAAGCCTGGAGAAGCTCATGAGTTTTAAAGGGAGTTAAGACACTACCTCAACCTCCAAAAAATAAAGATGATGGACTATTGGAACTGGCTGCACACTAGGAAGTCCACATATGCCATTAGTGGGATCTGAACCCACTACATCAGTCTCCCTGGCTCATTGCCTTGGACATATTCTTTAAAATTATTGTTCCTATCATCTGCCACAGTTGCTGCTCAGTATTATCCTATGAAAGCATCTCTCCCAGGCTTCAGCTATTTGGGAAAGTGAAGTTCCCGGATGTGGTGGAATTACAAGGAAAATACATTTGCGGAGATCCTCTCAGTTTTGCTTTTTTTTTTTTTTTCTGCTAGCAATGGTTCAGCTCCAGTCTGACAGTGCTGCAGTGCCTGTTGCGGTTTGGCTGACCTGCTGAAACTTAGCAATATCTTTATATATAGCCTTGCACATTCCCTTTGTTTACAACCCCAGCTTTTGGAAGATAAATTAGAATGCCCCTCATGTGGCATTTCACTACTTCTGTATCCCAAAGCTCCAGGGCTGCCTGGCTACTGCTGACTGGCAGCACGGGCTTCTGGATCATGCATGTTTTAATTGCCGTGCCTAGGACACAGACCCCCAAAGATGCTGTTGATCTCCATTGGTCTGTTCTGTAGCACATCGTAATTGTGTATTTAGACCTTTCACCACAAGCCTTTGGTCTGTGACTGTGTTTTGTAAAGTGTACTGTAACCTTTGAAATGTTGGGGCCATGAAGTAGCTGCCTGTGATTTGGGGGGGGGGGGGGGGGCTGGAGGAGATGATCCATATTACCCTTTCCAGTTCGAGATCTGCAGTAAGGCTTTAATGACTGTATTTCATCTTCACAATGCTCAGTTCCCTTTGGTTACTGCCATGGTGTGTATCGGAGATATCTACCATTTAATGAACTTCTTCAGCTTTTCCCGATGGCTCTTCATAGGATTAGCCACCCTTGGGCTCATCGTCCATCGCTACCGCCACCCGGAGCTGCACAGCCCATTCAAGGTAATGCATGGTGCACATGTACAGATCAGGAACATGCAGGTCGTCATGTCTTGCTCGCTCTGATTTGTTAAGAATTGGAGTAATATGTGGCCCTGATTGCATTTAGATTCTGAGGGGTCTCGATTCCTACTGGTCAGAAAGGCATGTGGAGAGCTCTTGGGGCTGGAGCAACTGTAAAACTGTACAGAACTATAAAACCAGTTCTGCATGGTGTGTTACCCGTCATAGCTATAAGATGGCAGCTTGCTCTAGAGGAAAGAGTATCAGGCTGGGACCTGGGAGATGCAAGAAAGACAAGACCCAATCTCATGGGTTGGCAAGGAGGGTGCCTTGCCTGGATGTTATTTCAGTGGTAGGTAAGCGTCAGCTTCAGCTGAGAAGGAGGAGAATGACCTCAGGCTTGGGGGAAAGGAGTAATTGACAAAGAGATCCTAGGAGAAAACCAGGCTTAAGCCTTACGGAGAATTGTCTCCTGTCACAAATATATTGTATAGCGTACTGCAGCTTGTGTGCAAGTGCTGCAGGCCCTGAGGCTATGCGCAGCACGCAGGTACATAACATGAAACTTTTTATTCAGCAGCCAGCTATCAGCAGCTAATGGATGGCGCAGTTTATGGCCCCGTGGAGAAGTACCTGCTCTCTTGCAGCAGGGAGACAGAGTTGCTTTGCAAGCTTGCAGCCACGCATGACCTTTGCCTGCTGCGGTTGTACTAAGAGCACAGAAGGCAGTGGGGTATAAAAAGCTGCTAGCCAGTGCTGTTAGCTCACGTATTGTTTGGTTGGTTGCTGGTGGAACACTATGTTTCCTGTGACTGTTTTGAGCGTGGGATTTACCTTGGAGGCACAGCCCCATATGTACATGTGCAGAGCTCCGACATGTTCTGGACTCATTGTACCTGTGGCCATAAGCCATGAGAGGCAGTAAAAGTGGGCAGAGGGAAGGAGGGGGAAAGAAAGAGGCTTCAAATCCCTCCTCCTCGGTGGCAGCTGGAGGCTGCCTTGTCCTCGAATGCTGCCTTTCCCTAGCTTCTCCCTGGGCCTCTCAAGTGACTTGTGCTCCTCCCTTCGCACACTGCTGCGTGCAGTGATCCTCTCGCGGAGAGAAGCTGGTCCCCTCATGTCAACAGGAGAAGCTGGAGCAGGTGCTAGAGCACCTTTCTTAGCTTTTGTAGCACTCCGGGCACCTTTCCCACTGCCAGATAATCTGCAGAAGGCATTTGTTGGGCCTCTGCTTAAACCATGCAGAATCTGTGTCTTTTTCACGTGGTGTCTGTGTGGTGCTTCCAGCTGGCTTCTGCAGAGGAAACCTCCGAGTCCACAGGCACCGGGCAACCGATCGGGGAGAAACTCGGGGGAACGAAACGCTTTTCATGACTCCTAGGACTCCTCCCCAGGCAGAGATAGACCTGATGCTTAGCCGGGGGTAATTTTTCTTCCTGGTCTTTGCGGGAGATAGACTTTTTAGAAGAGACCACGGAATGTTTCCACTTGTTGGCTGGTTGCCGTCATGTATTTATCCAGAGGCAGCTTTTACATAAGTTTTCTTTTTCAAACTAGGCTTCTCTCTTACAGGGTGTACAGTAGTAAGCAGCACCGATGATGCTTTCAGTTTCTGTAATTTTTGCCTCATTTTGTTTTAGATAGAGATTTAGGCTTTTAATAGTTTCTAAAAGTGGATCGGGTGAGTGAGGAAAATAATGGCACTTTGGTCAGTTTGGTTGTTTTTTGCCTTCCTTCTCCCTAGTTTTTATAGTCGCTTCAAACTTGACCAGTTAGCTGCAAAAAAGAGCAAGTGCATAAATGTGATGTGTGCGTGTGCTGCTCTCTAGTGTTCGAAAAAGAAGATTTTTTTTTCTTTTGACGCTAGCTTATTTATATGGAACAAATTATAAATTTAAGTGGTTCTGCTGGTACTTTCTTAACCTATAAATTTTATACTTAAAAATAGTCAGAAAAACCGATAAGAGAAAGAAGCACTCCCCTCACGCACCTCTCCAGCAGCTGTGCCACATGAGCGTGTGCCTGTTTGGCATCCTGGAAGGGAGCGCTCCTGCTGAGGAACTCTACTGGAAAGAGT